AATACTTAGAGGAGTACTTCAGAATCCACCTAACATCTGAAGTGGTTTATTATATAATCTTTGGAAAATTTCCATATTGGAATCCTCACCATGGGACTCCCAAATTCCATATTTTCCCAAAGATTATATCCTGATCTCACCAAGAGATCTCCCAATCCATACCATAACCTTATTCCTCTAAGTCCTATTAGCTTTCCAAACCAAACACACATAGCATATTCCATAATTACATAAAAAAATTTCCATAACCATGCCAAATTACTCAATATAACAACATAAATAATTAAACACCCAAAACAACTATCAACTTAACCAAATCACTATTTGTGAAATGACAATCTTCACATAAAATATAATATTAAGAGTTATACTACTCCTTTCTTTCTCATCTTTATCTCATATGAAAGATAAGAAGATTTACTACAACTCTTATGAAGACATCAATTCCTAATTCCATCATCTACTTTGTTAAAAATTCTAAAAACCGCAACAGCTATAACCAATGCTGGTAGCTTGACCCCTGTTCACTAAAACAGTCATATCTGGAGTTCTAGACATCCTTTTTGGGTGATTCCAACGCCATTGGAAAGCTAACATCCAAGGATACAATATTTATGAAGACTTCAAGACCAACATACTCAGTCCTGGCGCACTAATATCCCCTCCGACGCAAAACTCAAACAGAGACCTACAGAGGTCATTGCGCCCGACACAATATCAGTAACCAAATTGCGCCTGGCGTGACTAACCTCGCGCCCGACGTGATTTGGCAATGATGGTCTCTGAGGAATTCATGCCCAGAGCCAAGAACTGCGCCCGGTGCATTTACAGCCAGAAACCCTCGAAAACCTTGAAAATTCCTTCCAATCATGAATCCAATCCAAATTACAAGAGTTCAAACCATTATAAAGCTTAAACAATATCCAAAAACAACATTTTAAGCAATAAAAACAAGTATTAACCATTATTCCATGGAAATCATGAAGAACCCTAACCAAACCCTCTCCAGCTCAATCCAGCCTCAATCATGCGTAAAACATGGAATCAATGTGATATTTCAACTCCATACATACTAGATTAAGTCTTATAAGTACTACCCTTACCTTTGAAACCTCAGAAATGCAAGATTTGGACAAAACCCTCAAATCCCAACTCAATTTTTAATCCCCCTTTTCAAGGCTTTAGAGGCCAAATCTCTTAAAACTTCAATTGTGAAGATTGATCCTAGCTTGATAAACTTCCTAAATGTGTCCTCAACTTCCCTCCGAACCAGAGCTTCTCTCTCTACTTCCTCTCTCTAGGAATTCTCTATCTGACAAATGAGACCCTCCGGTCCTAAGTCCCTATATATAGCCATTTTCCAAAATTTCCAAATTTCACCCTTAACACCTATTTGTTGGTCCCTACGGTTAGAATCTAGAAGGGGGGGTTGAATAGATTCTATGTTAGTTTTCCTTTTCTTGTTTGCTTTCTAAATCTTTACCAAACAAATCTTGATTTAAAACAAACCTTTAAACATAAAAAGTAATTCAGAGTTATATATGCACAGCTTATCCAACAAGATTTGAATAACACAATTAATACAAGATATGTAAAGATTGAATTTATCAATTACCAAGAATCTTTAAAGTTCAGTTTCTGCAGATAATGTTTTTCTTCATACAACATTAATCAAGAAACTTATACAGAATGTAAAGAGTGTAAGAGTTAAGAAAATCATGCACCAAGATATATACTGGTTCAGCCATCCAAAGGCCTACATCCAGTTTCAGATTTAGATACACCTCTAAATCCAGTCAAATCCACTATTGATATTCTTTACATGCACCCTGCACAAGCAATATCCAATCAATGAATTTAACAAGCAAATCTTGACACCCACAAGATTAACAAACCATTTCTTGACTCCACAAGAAACATATAACCCAAGAATATTGATCCCACAATATCCTACTTGAGAAAAACCTATCTCAAGATTTCTCTTTACACAACTCTTCCAGAGATTCTCTAATCTCAAGAGTTAAAACCATTCAAACAATAACAAAAGATCAGAAACGAGTACACCTGTTCGTGTAGATATGATCTTCAACAACGTAAACCAGTTTAGAATGAATTTTCTATATGACCTCCGGTCCTAAGTCCCTATATATAGCCATTTTCCAAAATTTCCAAATTTCACCCTTAGCACCTATTCACCTCAAATATCCTATTCCTTGAAGTATTTCAACTCCCTAAGCTCTAAAACAACCTCAAATTCACTCAGAAAGACCGAATTTATCTTATGTTCCTCTCCTTCAATCTCCTATCCATCTTATTCCTTTCCATGCAATACTCACAACTCACCACCATATGAAATGCAACATGTATCAAACAAACATCACTTTCAGATACATATGCTTGGAATAATGAGTTGCATGCCATAATACTTCACTTAACCAAGATGAGAAGGAAGGTGATCAGTCTTCTTCCCTCTTAGTACCAATTTAGTATAATGGTGTACAATACATCATTCACCAAATTCATGCACACACATGCCTATATAAACCTCTCAAAACATCAACCTCTCATCTCATACTACAAAATCACTACTATGCTTAAACAACTAATCAAAACCACATCAACATACAACATGCACAGAGGTAAGTACATTTCAAATCCACATCTCCATAATCCAATCCAAATCCATATAAACAACATATACATGCATATATATATATATATAGAGTATATCTACCAAATAGCTCAGTATTTCCATGGCATTACAACTCTTCCCAACAACAAAAATTTTCGTCCCCGAAAATCCACTTACTCAAAAAGAGATATGGGTATTGATCCTTCATCCTATCTTCCAACTCCCAAGTGGCTTCATTAGTAACCCATCCCAAATAATCTTTACCAAATTGATAGATTTACCCCGCAATTGCTTAACTTTCTTATCTGCCACTAAAACTGGTTGTTTCTCAAAAGTTAAATTCTCCTTAACTTGCACTGCCTCTAATTCCAAAACATGACTCGGATCGTGAATATACTTTCTCAGTTGTGAAACATGGAACACATCATGCAGATTAGACAGGAATGGAGGTAATGCAATCTGATACGCCACGGGTCCAATCCTCTTGAGAATTTGATACGGTCCAATAAACTTAGGATTCAACTATTTAGCTTTAATAGCTCTTCCCACACCTGTGGTAGGAGTTACCTTCAAAAATACATGTTCTCCTTCTGAAAACTCCAAAGGTTTCCTCCTCTTGTCTGCATAAGACTTTTGCCGACTCTGAGCAGCTTTCATTCTTTCCTGAATTAGAATGGAGGTAATACAATCTGATATGCCACTGATCCAATCCTCTTGAGAATTTGATACGACCCAATAAACTTAGGATTCAACTTCTTAGCTTTAATATCTCTTCCCACACCTATTGTAGGAGTTACCTTCAAAAACACATGTTCTCCCTCTAAAAACTTCAAAGGTTCCTCTTGTTTGCATAAAACTTTTGCCGACTCTAAGCAGCTTTCATTCTTTCCTGAATTTGTTTCACTTTTTCGGTAGTGTGTAAGATGATCTCTGGCCCCACCATCATTGATTCTCCCTCTTTAAACCAACACAAAGGTGTTCGACACTTCCTCCAATATAGAGCCTCAAATGGTGCCATTCGTATACTTGCATGAAAACTGTTATTATAAGTGAACTCGACCAAAGGCAACATTTCTTCCCAACTCCCTAGATGATCCAAAATACAAGCCCTCAACAAGTCCTCCAAAGATTGGATAGTCTTCTCAGACTGCCCATCAGTCTGTGGGTGATAAGAAGAATTGAGTCTCAACTTAGTCCATAATGCCTGGTGCAAACTCTGCCAAAATCGGGAGGTAAAACGAGGATCCCTATCAGAGATGATACTGGAGGGTACACCATGTAATCTAACAATCTCCTTAATATACAATTGAGTTAACTTTTCCAAGGACCACTTTATATTCATTGGAAGGAAATGAGCACACTTAGTTAATCTATCCACGATCACCCAAATAGAATCACAATTCTTAGCAGACCTTGGTAATCCAACAACAAAATCCATGGTTATACTATCCCATTTCCATTCTGGCACTTCCATCATTTGTAACAAACCTCCTGGTTTTTGATGTTCTACTTTAGCTTTTTGACACACAATGCAAGATGCAACATACTCAGCTATCTCCCTCTTCATACCATTCCACCAGAACATTTTCTTCAAATCTTGATACATTTTTGTCATACCCGGATGTACACTCAACTTACTTTTATGACCTTCCTCAAGTATCAACTTCTTCAACTCCTCATCTTGTGGAATACAAATTCTACCCTTATACCTCAAGATTCCATCCATATCTTGTTCAAATCCTTCAGCTTTCTCAGAACCCAACAACTCTCTAACCTTATTCAAACCAACATCCTGAACTTGTTTTTGTTTCACCATCTCCAAGAAATCACTAGTAATGGTAGTCATACCACAACTAATAAAATCTGAGGCAATCACAACATTAAGATTCATATCCCTGAATTTCTCTACTAACTCCATCTCTTTAACCATCATGTAAGACATATGAAGAGATTTTCTACTCAAAGCATCTGCCACCACATTTGCTTTACCTGGATGGTACATTAACTGAAAGTCATAATCTTTCAAAAACTCAATCCACCTCCTTTGCCTCATATTTAATTCTTTTTGGTCAAACAAATATTTCAGACTCTTATGATCACTGAACACATCAAACTTTGCTCCATAGAGATAATGCCTCCAAATCTTCAAAGAAAAAACCACCGCAGCCAACTCTAGATCATGCGTAGGATAACTCCGTTCATGAGTCTTTATTTGCCTAGATGCATAGGCCACAACCTGCCTATCTTGCATAAGAACACATCCTAAACCTTGATGAGATGCATCACAATAAACCTCAAATGATTTATCGGGATCTGGAAGAATCAATACAAGAAACGACGTCAGCTTCTCCTTTAACTCTTGAAAACACCTCTCACACTCCTCTGTCCATACAAAAGGATGATCCTTCCTGGTCAGCTATGTCAAAGGCATAACTATTTTAGAAAATCATTCTATGAATCTTCTATAATAGCCAACCAATCCCAGAAAACCTCTAACTTCAGTAACTGATTTCGGACACTCCCACCTCAAAACTGCTTCCACCTTAGTAGGATCAACTGCAATTCCTTGTGCAGAAATCACATGACCCAAGAACTTAACTTCAGATAACCAAAACTCACATTTCGACAACTTTGCAAAAAATTGTTTCTCCTTCAATACCTGCAAAACTATCCTCAAATGTTCTCTATGTTCTTCCATAGATCTAGAATAAACCAAAATGTCATCAATGAACACCACAACAAACTTATCCAGAAAGGGTCTGAAAATCCTGTTCATATAATCCATGAAAATAGCTGGAGCATTCATCACTCCAAAAGGCATGACAACATACTCATAATGGCCATACCGAGTCCTGAAAGCAGTCTTTGGTATGTCCTCCTTTTTTACCCAAATTTGGTGATACCCAAACCTCAAATCAATCTTGGAGAAAACAGAAGCTCCCCTTAACTGATCCATCAAATCATCTATCCTTGGCAATGGATACTTATTCTTGATTGTCAATTTATTTAACTGCCTGTAATCCATACATAACCTCACACCATCATCCTTCTTCTTTACTAATAACACGGGTGCTCCCCACGGAGAGACACTAGGTTTGATTATCTGCTTCTCCAAAAGTTCCTCAACCTGCTTCTTCAATTCAGACAACTCCGTTGGTGTCATTCTATAAGGAGAAATAGACACTAGTCCCGCCCCTAGTATAAGATCAATACTAAACTCTAACTCTCGCTTTGGTGGTAACCCCGGAACATCATCTGGAAAAACCTCTGAGAAATCTCTAACAACATCAATACTATTCAACAACTTTTCATTCTCTACACTGATAAAAGATAGAATCATAAACCCAAGAGCTCCACCCTTCAGCAACCCATCTACCTGTCCACTAGAAATAAATCTCTCCTGTTCAACAGTAGGAAAGATTAATCTCTTCTCTGAACAATCTATCAAAATCCTGTTGGCAGAAAGTCAATCCATCCCTAAAATCACATCCAAATCGGACAAAGGTAAACAAAACAAATTCACTTTATAACAACGCCCTTCCACCTCCACTGGACATCTTAAACAAACCTCAGAAGTCAAAACAGACCCTGAAGCTGGGGTAGAAACGACTAGATCCACACACAAGGAACTCACAACCAAATTTAACCTTACCACACATTCATAAGAAATAAAAGAATGTTAAGCACCAGAATCAAATAGAATAGAAATATCAGTACCATCAGCTTTGCCCTTTTCCTTTACCAGCTCAGATGACATTTCAGCTTCAGCACCTGTTAAAGCAAAAACACGACCTGCTGCAGTAGGTCGATCCACTTTTTGGTTTTCTCTAGCTTGAGTATTTCTTACATTGCAATCCTTAGCCATGTGACCTACCTTGCCACATTTAAAACACACACAGTCCTTTGTAGGACAATCCCTCATCATATGTGGGCCTCCACATCTATAACATCTAAAACTCTGAACAACTCCTGTAGTAGTAGTCCCCATTGATTTCTTATTAGCATTCCCCTTCTGAAACTGAGATGGTCTCTTTTGGTGATGTTTCCCCTTCCAAATCCAGATGATCCCTCTGGACCCTTTGCCACTTTATTTCCTCCTTCAAACCTGTCAACTGTTTTTTCCTTTTCAACTAGAACTAGGAACTCCACAATCCCCATAGGAACAATAGTCTTCTTCAGCTCATACCTTAAACCCTCACTAAACTTCCTGCATCTCTAGGCTTCAGTGATAGCTTGAGAATAGTGCCTAGCCAAGTGTTCAAACTTGACCACATACTCTTGTACTGACATATTTCCTTGCTGAAATCTCAAAAATTCAGTTTCCTTAGCATATTTGGGGCTATCTGGAAAATATTTCTCCAGAAACACCTTTCTGAAGTTCTCCCAATTCACCATTTCCCCTCTAGCTTCCATCATAGCTTGAGCACCTTTCCACCAGAAGCTAGCCTCACCCACCAACATATAAACAACATAAACTAGCTTCCTCTCCTCAGGACAATGCATCACCATGAAGATTTTCTCCATCTCCTCAATCCACTGGTCAACAACTTCAGGTCCATCAACACCTGTAAATTGAGGAGGATTCCCTTTTCTGAACTCTAACAAGCCCCTATACTCATCAGGTACCTCAACCCTAGCTGCTTCAGTTGCAGCCCGATTGGTCTCCATCTGACCCAACAAAGTATTTTTTTGTCCAATAGCAGTAGCAATCAGCTCCATAGCTTGAGCAATATGCCACTTATCCACGCCTGAAGAAGGATTAGAATGGTTTCCCCTACCAACCATCCTAATCAAGACAAAAGATCAAGGAACCCATGAGTTTACACCAAAACACATAAGAAATTCCTTTCCAAAATCCATTTCCTCCCAACAGAAACATAACAAGACCATTTCCCACAAACCCTAAAGAGGCTTGACCAGCTTTGATACCAACAAGTGTAACGACCCGTCGTAGGCCATCACATCAATAACCAATATGACAACTAAAATAAAAATAATATATAATAAAGAAAATAGAGCAAAGGCCAGCTACACTAGAGTGTAAATATACAATAACGTATAAATTGTTTCCATAATATAAAACATAATTTTATAAAAGAGTCATTATTCGTAAGGTTATACAATCATCCAAAAAGATAATGAATATACAACGTCATGAAGACATTAAAATAAGACAACCTAGGTGCTGGTCAAGCTCTAAGCCTAGCCACTTCTCAAAGCAGCTACGAAAAGACTCCTTGCTATCCCAAAGCCTCACACCTGATCTGCTCCCCCACATAGTGAGTTCATCACAATCCACATCATGGAAATATAAAGGGTTAGCACGTATAAAACCAACCATAGTACAACATAATGTAATATCATTAAACTAGATATTCATCAACAGTATGTATCCATACCAAGGGAATGACAACATTATAACAAGTCATTTCCATGCCAAAAAAAAACCAAACCAAAGTCCAATGTATACACATCCATGCCAATGCATACATATTCCACATCCAAACCAAAGTCACACCACTGTATAATCCCATGAAGTAGCCAACACATCCAAACCAAATGTTGGCCTGAATACATCCAAACCAAGTGTTGAATTTGTGAACATGTCACTTGCCCATGTCACACGCCTCACCTTTCATGGAAAATATACAGTTGGG